TATTTTAATGTAAAGTGAAGAACTAGAATATGAAATAGAACTGCAGGAAAAAAATCAAACTGACCTTGCTATTGGTACAAGGAGGTAGAAGAGATCAGTTACAGTATAACAGCAAAAATATGCCCAGGGGCTGATTGTGGAATAGATGACAAACTGCTCATGTGCAAGTTCCAAGTCAAGTAAAAGTATAAAAACAAAGCCAATCAGTTTCCACAATATGATCTTGAGGATATCTCTACCATTTTCAAGGAGTGACTCAGCAATTGCTATGAAGTCCTGAATGTTATTGATAGGAAATCAGAGAAATTGTGGAATGAAATCAAAGAAGTTATTATGGATGATTGTGAAAAGAGACTGCCAAAGACCAAGAAAGAGGGAAAAAAACAAACAAACTGGATGTCAGAACAGAAATTGCCAAGAAAAGAAGAGAAACCAAAGCCAAGAAACACAAAGATCTCAGGAAGGAACTTAACAAAAAATTTTAGAGAGCCATTAGAAAGAATAGTATTACAAGAATATCTGTGAAGATATTGAAGATGGAAACAGGTACAGAAAAACGAGCAAAATTGTCCAAAATATCTCCAAATTTAGAAGGGATTCCAAGTTTGAATTGGTATGCTAAAGGACACCAGTGGATAGTTAGTACCTGACTTAATGAAGATCACACAGAAATGGAAAGAATATACTGAAATTCTGCATAATAAAGATGTCAGCATCCAAAATACTTTAGAAAATATTCCCCAATTACAAGAACTTCTAGTACTAGAAGGTGAAATTAGATTAGCAGTTTGGTCATTACAGAAATGCTACAGGAATCGACAGAATGTCTGCAGAAACACAGGAAGCAGCCAAATAAGAATTGTTAAAGGTTCTAACCAAACTATATCAGCAAATCTGGAAAATGACATAATGTCCAACAGATTGGAATAGGTCAGTCTACAAAGAAAGACTTAACATATTTCACATGTTAAGAAAATAATGCTTAAAATAATCCAATACAGACTAGAGTCCTACATGGAAAGGGAGGTGGCTGATGTTCAAGCTGGTTTCAGAAAAGGCCAAGGAACAAGAGATGTTATTGCTGATATGCTCTGGATAATTGAGAAAGCCAAAAAATATTTTTAAAACGTCAGTTCATTGATTATAGAAAGGCCTTCAGCTATGTCAACCATGTCCAACTAGAATATGCTTAGAAAATATGGGAATCCCAGAACATCTCATTGTCTTCATACAAAACCTATATGTAGGACAGGAAGTCACAATTTGGGCAGAACATA